AAATGCCATTTTAAAACTTGGCTCTTTAGACAGGCCTCCCCTCCAGTCAATTAACTTAATTTCTGTTGCTGTTTCTTAACTACTCCCATCTTGATAATATAGTTATGTATATAATCACCATCTATTAGGTTTTACCATGTATGTTATTTTATCTTGTTTTATCACTTATGTAAGCCGCCCCGAGTAGACTTTGTCTAGAGGGGCGGGGTATAAATTCAATAAAAGAAAGAAAAGAAAGAAAAGTACACACTTTGGCTAAGGATATTTGCACTTGCAGCAATATCACTGCATGTCCAAACTGACAAATAAAACAACCCTATTACTGACTGATACAATGTTACATTTTCACCTGTATCATTATCCTTATAAAAGTTTGTAACCCTAGGAGTTGCAACTTATCTGGAACAATCATCCACCAGAACTAACAGCCACTTTTTCTGGCCTTTGGTGGCAGATAAAAGATCCAGCCCGATCTGCATAAATAAGTTGAAGAGGTCTCTTTGACACTCTTGAACTTTTCTTAATTATAGGAGACATTTTTGATTTGCTTTTCTTGCATACACTGCAATCTAAATACGTCTGGCAAGACTTGGGACACATATTTTACACACACACACACACACACAAACACACACACACGTTTTGTTCACAACCCCAAAATTGGCATGACCTAACCATCTATGAAGTAAATGTATGCACTCGTTATGCTGTGGCTTATTATAAACATTTCAGATAGTCTTTCTTTCAAACATACAAATGATTTTCAAACTTTCCACTTGCAAAAAATTTATCTCCTTGCTGTACATAAGATTTACTACTGGAAAAAATGTATTTTATTTCAGTCCTTTCCCATTAAGAAGAGGGGGGGCAGGATTGCACCTGGAGATTGATAAACCTTACCACTTTGAATGATTTCAAATCTCCAGGGCTGGATGAGAGGACTGATGGAATTGGCTGAAGAACTCTCAGAACGGCTCTCCATTACTGTATTTTCTTAAAATCATGGGAAACCGGGGAGGTACCAGAGGATGGGAGGAGGGCCAATGTTGTACCCCATCTTCAAAAAAAGGCAAGAAAAAAAGAACCTGGGGAACTACAGGTCGGTCATCCAGACATCAATCCCAGGCAAAATTCTAGATCATAAAGCGGTCATTGTGCAAGCACCTAGGAAACAGGGCAGGCATAATAGAAGCCAACATTAAGCCACATGGGTGTTGTAGTGTAGGGAAAACTCTCCTAGCATCCTGTGGCTGCGTCTGAGGGGAGGGGCTGCCACCGTTCCTCCTCTTCCTCATCATCCTAGAGAGCTTGCCATAGAGGCCTTTCCTTAGGCCAGTCAGAGGGCTTGATTATTTGCCTTTCTCCAGACCACCCCTAATAACATGATGTAACCCTTGTCCTATCTGAACCCCGTCTACTATCTGTAATGCTGTCACTACCTGTGACCTTGTAATGTTAATAAACCAACAGTCCTCCATCTGTGGATGTGGCTGACTTCCTTAATCTATTGCTAAGAGACTCTTTGCTATCCTATTATCTGGTGATCACCACAAAGGCCATCAGCCTGCTCATTGCCTGAACCCAACAATTGGCGCCCAACATTTTCTCTACATTACAATACCCATGTGGCTTAGAAATGTTCTCAATCCCTTTTGACTGATTTATAAAATCACTCCCACAGTATTAACCTGAAGCCCCCTTGACTAATTGTGGAGAAACCGTATTATCCGCCAAAGAATTTGGGATATTGAACTTCAGATTCTGGCAGCTAATTTGAATTTAATTTGCTGTCCTTGTTTTTACGGTTTGCCCCCTTTGTCTGTAACTGGTGCCAATTATTTCACCAATCTCATTAATCCACTGTGGGTATTCATGCTGACCAGATTTAATACATTTCCCTTAGCTGTTCTTTCTGGCAGGTATCATAAGATCCCCTTTAAGAACTGCCGGTGTACGCACTGCTTAGCAGAACCGGACTCCATTCCACATATTCTTCTTCACTGCCCTAAATTTAGGGAGCTCCATCAATTACTACCTAGCTCTCTTATTTCAAATTTCTCTAGCTCCCCTGAGAGCTTAATCTGAATGATGTTAGCAGATAAACAACCTGATTTAACTGAGCATGTAAGCTGAATATCTTGCTCCTGTAATAAACTAGGCTGACTGCTACAAGGAGCCTTGACATAACTTGACCATATTTTTCTTATTGTAGTTGAAAGTATTATTGTTTTAATGCAATAAAGGACATGATTGATTGATTGACTGATTGATTGATTGATTTCAGCAAAGCTTTTGACAAAGTGCCCCATGAGCTCCTGATTAGCCAGCTAACTTGGTGTGGGCTGGATAGATCAAGGGTCAGGTGGATCCACAATTGGCTACAGAATCGTACTGAGAGGGGGATGATTAATGGGTCCTTTTCTAACTGGGAAAAGGATAAAAATCTTGATGGGGAAACCTTTAGGCTGGGGATCAGGACTAAGCCCTGGCATACCCAGAAAAAAAAACCAGATGCAAAGCTAGAAGATGCGGGATAATTGGCTCAGTGAGAAGGATGATGGAGGACATGGACTGCCTGGATCGGTTTCAGTCCACATTCAAGCTGCGCTATGGTATCAGGATAGCCCTGGTTACACTGCAGGATGACCTTGTCAATTACGGATTTTTAATAAAACGGTTATGACAGGAAAAAATAAGAAATTCAAATGGGGAACATTTTATAACACGAAAAACGTAAAAAGTAGCCAATAGGCCTTCAAACTGCTTTAAGAAAAGCATGCACAGCTTTACATTTTCAGGGCCTGCCACCAGCCATGTTGGCGGGGCACCAGCTGTAAGCGGAATCTGAGCCATCCGTGTCGTGTGGCTAGAAAAAGGCAAATGTAGGTTTCGGATGCAGATCAACAGGAGAAGAGTCCTCCTCTGTTCAGTCCTGATTAGGCCTTGTCTTGAGTACTGTGTGAACGGTTCTGGACACGGCACTTCAAGAAGGACAGCCACTATTTAGAGGAGGGCAACGGAAAGAACCGGGCATGGTGTGTGTCGCTTTGGGAGAAGATGACGACGGAGGGGAGGCCGGACAGCCCTTTTCGAATCCTTGAAAGGCCGTTCTATACAAAGGGAGGGCAGGATCTGTTCTTGACCGCCCCAGAGGGCAGGACGTGCAGCCGTGGGGTCAAACGACAGGAAACCAGTTTTTGGCTGAGGATCAGGAAAAGCGCCTTCACGGTTAAGAGCAGGACGGAAATGCAACCCGTGACTCTGGGCGGTGGGGGAGCGCTCCAACACGGGAGCTGATTCAAGAGAGATTTGGACAGATACCTGTCACTTGGAAGATCCCTGTTGATGGGCATTCCTGCCTCGAGCAGGGAGTTGGTGGCCTTGTAGGGAAGCCCCCTTTCCATCTTCCTCATTCCCTGATTTTAGGAGAACTGTCCAGAACTGGGTTTCTCTGACCAGCAGGCAAAGGGGATCCTGCTCTCTTTGGAAGAAAGGCAAAGCCCCCCCCTTCCTCAAAGGACCCCCCCCCCGACCAAGGGGGGAACCTCTGATGGCAGGACAGAGGCTCAGAAATGGGGAGCCCTCATCAATGTTCCCCATTGATGAGATGGCTGGACAGTGTTTGCGAAGCAACCAACATGAATTTGACACAACTCTGGGAGGCAGTGGAAGACAGGAGGGCCTGGCGTGCTCTGGTCCATAGGGTCACGAAGAGTCGGACACGACTAAACGACTAAACACAAACACCCGTGTTCCCAAGTCATTCCTGCAGGATTCCGCGATTTCATGCCAAAAAACAGGGGTGGCGCGCCCGGCCGGCCTTCTTGACTTGCTGATCCTCCTGCCCATGGTGTGAAAAGACCCACCAGGAGACCCCACCAGGTGGCGTGCTCTGGTCCATAGGGTCACGAAGAGTCGGACACGACTAAACGACTAAACACAAACACCCGTGTTCCCAAGTCATTCCTGCAGGATTCCGCGATTTCATGCCAAAAAACAGGGGTGGCGCGCCCGGCCGGCCTTCTTGACTTGCTGATCCTCCTGCCCATGGTGTGAAAAGACCCACCAGGAGACCCCACCAGGAGACCCGGGTGGGGTGGGGAGTAGGAAAG